GCCGGGAGGGTGCGGCGCGCGCGGCTCGGAGGAGCTTCTCTTCCCCGGGTTCTGACGTCCTAGCGGCGAACCTGGCGGAGAGGCTCAAGGTCCGCCCGGCGCGTGTCCCCGGGTCTCCCCGCACAGCCCTCACCACCATAGACCTGCAGGACCTCGCTGACTGCTCTTCGCTACTCGGGTCCGACGCGCCGCCTGGTGGTGACCTGGCCGCCTCGCAGGTACCTCCCCTTCTCGTGGAGCCTCCTGGTTTCACCAAGCCCAAACCCCCCTCGGGGTGGTGGTTTTAATTCCCCAAAAGCTCCACTCGGGTCAGGAGCGCAGGCACATTCAGCTGGTGAGGGGAAGCATCGGGCAGGTACCTGAGCCTCCCAGATCAGAACTTCTACTTCCATCCTAGTATGTTATGAAGGCCACATATCCACTGGAGCTGATTTGACCAACTTGGTACAGTCGGGCTCACCTGGAGGCCTCCCCTCCCATTCTCCTCCCTATCTACTCATTGGAGCTGTGACAAGATTGCGCACAGAGAGACCAGGCGGGTGGGTGGGAGCAAAGTTGCGCACTGGGCACCTGTTGCATGTCCTATCAGTTCTCCCAACACCCCCTTCCTGCCCATTTTCATTCCGTGGGTATCTAAGAAGAGTGGAGGTTGATGGATAGCTTCTCTATCAAAGACTGGAAAAGAGCAAGAGAATTTGCAGTTGGAAGAAGCAGGAAGGACAAAGGACTCTGGAAGTAATCTTGCAGAAAATGTTCCTCTCTGCAGAGATGGTCCTTCAGCAATTGGGCACTTTTTCAAAGTCCTGTTCCGCCCTTCAAAAAGCTCTAGTCACTTGCCATGATGGGGCAAAAAGGCACTTGACTTTTTTCTTTCCCCCCAAACCTGTCTTCTCACTCCCATCCCACTTCCACACTTGCTGGTGCTGACGCTTCCCAGGCAGAGAAGGGAGTCTCCCAGAGTGGTGTCTGGGAGGCCAGAAGCCTGGCTCATGGGTAGGACATGAAGTGCCCAGATGGACAGGAGGTCTTAAACAGATGCAACCCCCAGGAAAAGTGCCAGTTCCAGCTTCTTGGCAATAGGTCTGGGGTCTGCAGACAGGCCCAGTACAGAACTCTACAAAGACCTGACCACTTCCCAGAACTGGGAGTGGTGGTGGAGCAAAACTTCTCAGCCCTCCTCCAAGAGCCTCCTAGAACCTTGGGATAGGGCCTAGAGAGACTCAGTTTAGGTGGCCGCTGAGAGCAGAGATTGTTAAGGCAAGAGTTGGGAGTGGGCATTGCACTGTAGAGGGCATTTAATTGTTCTTTTTAGATCTGGATGATCAAATAAGGAAAGATAATGCCTGAGCATCTTCCAACTGACCCAGAGGCCTAGGTCACTCCCTTACCCCAACATGTTTATTGTGCAAGTAAGAAAGCCCAAGCAGCTCTCGTTGAATGTTTGTCTAAGTATACAGATTTTAAATTTGGCATCATGCTCTTTGTTAGTAATTTTTTTCTTGCTTTCGTAGTTGGAGAAATGCCAGATTTATCTAATTGGGGAGGTAGAATTCAAAGTTTCATTTTGTTTATTTTCTTTTTCTTTTTTTGAGACAAGATCTCACTCTGTCACCCAGGCTGGAGTGCAGTGACATGATCATGGCTCAGTGTAACCTGGACCTCCCAGGCTCAGGCGATCCTCCCACCTCAGCTTCCCAAGTAGCCAGGACTACAAGTGCACACCACCAGAGCCAGCTAGTTTTTGGTTTGTTTGTTTGTACTTTTTGTACAGATGGGGATTTGCCATGTCACCCAAGCTGGTCTTGAACTCCTGTGCTCAAGCAATCTGCCTGCCTCAGCCTCCCAAAGTGCTGAGATTACAGGCGTGAGCCACTATGCCCAGCCTCGAAGTTTCAAGGACAGAGCTCACATCAGATGGACCAAAAAATCCAGGATTTTTCCTGGGAAAGACAGAGCTGGTTCAGAGGAAAGAGGCCCCTAAGGGAGGAACACTTGGGGAGAACCGGACACTCAGATCACATTTCCCCATTCCTTTCCTGCCGGGGGAGGTGGACAGAGAGAGGAAGTGCTCTAGAAATGTTTGAGGTTCAGAATGGGCCAAAACCTGGATTGGTATAACAGGTAGCATTTCCAGGGCCCCAATTCCTGAGTTGGCTTCCAGTCTTCTCATGAGACTTTTCTCAAATCCCTACTGAGGAGGAGACCTTCCAGTTCTTGAAGAATGAGCCCCTTCAACCAGGGCAGAACTCATGCTCCAGGACTTGTTTGGGGCCCTCAGTCCTTCCTTTCTCATCTCCTTTCCCTTATAGTCTCAGCGTCCAACTAGTGGCAGAGGTGCTAGAGGCCTCCCTGCTTAACGCTTTTCTCCCAAGGGAAAACTGATACTTGTACATTTTTTGAAGTTAGGGACAGAGTAAGTTCCTTTTCCCAGAAGTATTTGAACAGTAAAGAAGGGCTTTTGGGACAACCGTATGATGAGCACAAAGGAATGAATCAACAGTGCATTCAGTATAACAAGTCTTTCTGGTAGGCTATTGGATGCATCTTCTCACACCATGGCCCTTGAGACTCCTGTCCCCTTCCCAGTGCTGTCTTCATTGGAAGCCAGCTTTCCTAAAAAGAGAGAAAAGCTGAAGGAAATGAAGTATGGGGGCAGGAGGCCCCATTCCACTACTTCAGAGCTGGGTGACTGGATAACTCTCTGAGCTTCAGATTCTTCCTCAAAGAGGAATCAGTTCCCAGGCCCCGCCTGCTTCCCACACTGGTGTGAGGATGAACTGAGAGACTGTAAAAGCGTTTTTCATCAACTCTAAATGTCCATGAGTTAAGGGAACAAGAAAGCCCATGCCTCCAGCCCCTCACGCACCCTTTCCCCTCACACACCCAGACACCCTGCAGGAGGCCAGGAGAATATAGTTAAAGATGTTGGAGGTGCACCGGCTGTATGAGAAAAGTGTACTCCCAACTTTTTGGGAACTGAAAAGAGCAATGGAGGCCACACTGGCTGTGTGCGTAACAGAAGCATTTCCCATATGCCCCTGGCCCCTCGAATCACAGCTTACCTCCCGCTCGGTTGCAGGGGCGGGGCGGTTAGCTGAGGCCGAACCTTGGCGGGAAACGCGGCTTCAAATTACTGCTCTGGAGGCCCCTACACGCTGTCGGGTCTTGGGTGGAAAGATCCTGTGTTCAAGACGTGCTCTCTGCTCCTACAGCGGCGGCTCGGTGGCCGGTCGCTGTTGAGTGGGAGTTGAAATTTCGCGGGCGCATGGGGAACCGCCGGGCCTCACGGAGGCAGCTGCTTAGCTGGTTGGAGGGTGGCGGGCTACTCAGCTGCCCGGAGTCGGCGCTGGGCGCCCGCACCGCGCCTGGAAGGACCCATGCCCGCTACACAGTCGCTCTGCAGGAGCCTCGAACTGCTGCCCCCTTCCCGGAGTCAGTGTCGCGCTCCTTGCGTACCTCTCCCCACCGTGGAGGTGCAAGCCTGCTGGGTTCCCTGTCTCGGATGGGGCTTGAATTTTCGGGTACCAGACTGAGCTGCCGACAGGAGTGCGCGCAGACCGCCGCCTAGCCCGGGAGGAGGTCTGTCGGTCTAGAAAGGGTTCCGGACCCGCCACAAAAAGTGTTTTATTTGGTGGGGATTTAGGGGTACAAGTGCAGTTGTGTTACATACATATATTGCATAGTGACTGCCAGATTTTTAATAGGGACGCCAATATTTATTGAAGGCTTTCTAACGCCAGACTCGTTAACTAGTGTACACGTCTTGTTTATTTCAGAACCATTCCCTCCAAGCGGAAGTGGACTTCGATCTGCAGGATTTCAGAGACACGGTGGATGATCTCATTGCAGGCAAGTGCAGTCTCCTGGCAGTTAAGTAACAGCGGGGGTGTCTCCCAGTCCCAAATCAGACTAGTTCACATTTCGTGGTCGCCAAGGTGGTAAACCCAGCCAACTGTCAGCGACTCTCCAGCAACTCATCAAAAAGTCAGGCTTTTCCATATTTAGGACATTTCTCTCCCCCAGTTGAGAAGTCGAACCGCTGGATCTACATAGCGCTTTATCTGGGATCGGTGTGAGTTCTGGGAGAGGGAGCCCTATCCTGTAGTGTGGCAGGGGAGGTTGAGTGACGAGTGTGCAGGGGATCGAAGGCCTGTGTGTGCAGGCCCAGGGAAGTTTTCTTGATTGAATTCAGGTAAACTTAACAGGCATATGATGGATACCTACTGTGTATGTACAGGCCATCAGGAAGGGCCTCATAATCAGGCGTTTAGGAGTAAGGGGTACTTAATTTAATAAAAAAAAATCTCTACATAAACCCTACACCCAGAGTGGTATTTTGCTCCTGTAACTAGCTGGGCATGAGTTTGAGGCTGCAAATCCAGCTCCTGCTCTTTTCCAGACTCATCCTCTATGATGTCGCCTACCCTGGCCAGCAGAGACTTCCCCTTCTCTCCTTGCGACATGTCGCCATTCGGGCCCTGCCTCTCCCCGCCACTGGACCCACGGGCTCTGCAGTCACCACCGCTGCGCCCTCCAGACGTGCCCCCGCCTGAGCAGTACTGGAAGGAGGTGGCGGACCAGAACCAGAGAGCGCTGGGAGACGCGCTCGTTGAAAATAATCAAGTAGGGACACTGCCCTGGCGACCAGGAATCCTGCGGCAGGGACAGGATATAGAGGGTGGAAGTGGGGTTTGCAAGGGCAAGGATGAGGTCCTGTGAGTCGGAATCAGTGGACTGACTGGTGGTTCACGTAGCTGCCATTGCTCCGGTGGCTCCACCTGTTTCCAAATTCACTAAGTGGGAATAATTCTACCCCACTCGATTTTTATTTTATTTTTAATTAATATTTATTTATTCATTTAATTTTGAGACAGAGTCTCACTCGGTCACCCAGGCTGGAGCTCAGTGGCTCAATCTTAGCTCATTACAACCTCCGCCTCCCAGGCTCAAGCGATTCTCGTGCCTCAGCCTCCCAAGTAGCTGGATTACAGGCGCGTGCCCCCCACACTTGGCTAATTTTTGTATTTTTAATAGAGACGGGGTTTCACCATGTTGGCCACGCTTGTCTTGAACTCCTGACCTCAGGTGATCCATCCGCCTCAACCTCCCAAAGTGCTGAGATTATGGGCGTGAGTCACTGCACCTGGCCATTTTATTTGTTTTTAAAAATTGTTTTATTTGGAGGGATTTAGGGGTACAAGGCAGTTGTGTTGCATACATGTATTGCACAGTGCCTGCCAGATTTTTAATAGGGATGCCAATATTTATTGAAGGCTTTTTCTATGTGCCTGGCCCTGGACTTAACAATTTATACTTCTTCTTCCCACTTAATGCTCACAATCATTGAACTAGATACTCTTACTAGCCCCGTTTTACAAGGATATCGAGACGTAGGATTGTTGAACCTCAGTAACAGAACCTAGATCTGCCTGTTGCCCAAGTCAGTACTCTTTATCAGCACGCTACACTGAGGATTAATGGAGATAAATTTTGTCCAAGTGCTTTGTTTTAAAACAAATAACAAATGATGATTATTCTCACTAGCGTAAATGCCCGTGCGTCCCCAGTTTCCGATGAGACTTGAGGATCTGGGTATCTGGGTTTGATTCATGCCAGATATGCAGACGCGACCCAGCACAGTGCCTACCCCTGAATGTTTGGGTCTCATCCTGCAGCTGCACGTGACGCTGACCCAGAAACAGGAGGAGATCGCCTCGCTCAAGGAGCGGAACGTGCAGCTGAAGGAACTTGCCAGCCGAACCCGGCACCTGGCCTCGGTGCTGGATGTAAGTGGGGCGCGGGCGTGTGGGAACTGCAGCACGTCGGAACTGAACTGTTCAGTGCATCCCCGCCCCCAACCCTGCGCCCAGCATTGGGACCCGGTGGGGGCCCCGGAGAGGAGAGGACCAATGGGTGCGTGGTGCGTAGCGTGCCCAGGTCACCTTTTGCACGCACCGAACCCGGGGGGTCCGGCAGGCCCCAGGGCGGCGCTCTTCCCCGTCTTTCGTAGAAGCTGATGATCACACAGTCCAGGGATTGTGGGGCAGCGGCCGAGCCCTTCCTGCTCAAGGCAAAGGCCAAAAGGAGCCTGGAGGAGTTGGTCAGCGCTGCGGGGCAGGATTGCGCGGAAGTGGACGCCATCCTGAGGGAGATTTCCGAGCGCTGCGATGAAGCCCTGCAGAGCCGCGATCACAAGCGGCCCCGACTGCAGCCAGAGCCCGCCAACACAGACACCAGGCCCGGGAACCTGCACGGCACCTTCCGGGGGCTGCACACCGACTGCAGCACGAGAGCGTTGAACCTGAGCCACAGTGAACTGGAGGAGGGCGGCTCCTTCAGCACCCCCATCCGCAGCCACAGCACCATCCGAACCCTCGCCTTCCCCCAGGGCAATGCCTTCACCATCAGAACAGCCAATGGGGGTTACAAGTTCCGCTGGGTCCCCAGTTGAGCTGTGATGTGGTCCCCCAAAACACTGCCCTGTATTTCCACTGAAGTGCCTGGAGGCTTCCCAGAACTTTCCCTGCAGAGTGAATGCCACCCTGAAACATTTTTTTCAGGAACATAAGCGTCTTGATACCGATGCACTGTAAATGTCTGCTACAAAACATTGTATAGCCCTTCCCCTTGTCACAGTGAAACTCTGTATATATGTGTATGTCACATATGTCACAGCCAATTTTAAAAGTATTTATTTTTAGCAGCTTTGAATTATGTATTTTTAGAGCAGGGAGGGATTTAGAAACCATAGCTACTTTTATAATTATATAATGCCCTAATATTATAAGAAGGAAAAGAAGGCTCTAACAGGTTAAGTAATTTCCTGCAATGGGAAACACTGGAACCTTTCAATCACTTTCACTAGTCATTTAAGGACTCTAGGCCCAGAAGCCTGGTTTCTGGGTGAATGTTTTTATACATCACTCAACTTCCCTCAGTCCTGAAAGGACACCTAATTTTGTTACTATTGAAAACTTTTATTTTGGTGGCCAGAATACGAAATCGGGAGAGGTAACCTAAACAGTTGTCTTAGGAAAAGGCAGATTCTGAGAGGCAATGGGTTATCAACAAAATAGGTGCTAAGCACATTTGTTTATAATGATCATTCATATAATTTAGAAGATTTATGGTAAAGGTTTACATTAATTTTCCATACAGTTCTATTTGTGCAAATAGAATAACCACCTAAAAAGCAAACAGTGTTAATGAGAAATATACATTGTTTTAAGAAAATGGCATATACCACATGAAAAAGGGTGTTCCCATTTTTTTTTTTGTCAGAAATCAAGTGTGGAAATCTTGATCAAGGTAAAACTACCTATTTAAACTGCACAGATAAAACGGGTGCACAGTCATATTTTACATTTCTTGGCTTGATTTATATAACTTGTAAGAAAAACTTAACTATAAAAAGTCAGTGTGCCTTCACTTTGACTTGACTTCTATTCCCTTTTGTCTGGGGTTCTTTTTTCTACTCATTTCTGAAATTATGTGAGTGGCATACGTCAAGTAGTGATTTGTCCTGACCTTCACAGTTCTTAACACGAGGGCTACTTCTTGCACTTGGGGGCCCAGCCTAGGTACGTTTCCGACTGTGTTACGCCACACTGCATTGCTGGTTCTGAGAGGAGATATCAGGTAACAGGTGATTTGGCAGTGTGGCAGAACCTGCCCTTCCAGTTTGTCATGTATGTACTGTTATCTGTATTTAAATAGCCATTTAGAAACCAAAAAAAAGTGATAAAATAGACCATATTTCCTCATATTTTATCTAACAAATGGACTCTTAAAAAGTACAGTGGATGGTCCAGAATTTTTTTCATCAGCTCATATATAAAGTTACCAGAGTTCGGGATAAGAAAAAACAAATCACTTCCTCCCACCCTCTTAACCTGTCCCCCAGAACAATCAGCTTGTCACGTCTTTTCCTCTCTCCTTAATGAGTATTCTTATAATGCTTTACCTACAATAACCAAAAAGTTTTAAATATATAGGATTTTTTTTTCTGTATGTCTTATGACTAGAGTTTTTAAAATTACCTTTCTTCCTGCCTTTAAGATTATATCCCTGTAATTGTTATGTTAGCCATTGGTAACTTGAACTGCTTAAGTATCTTTCACTTCTGAGGCAGGGGTTGAGGTGGGAGGGTGCAGGTGGGGGCATCATCTTGTGGACTAATGGCACAGATGACTAAATTAGTTAGCAGTAGTAGAGCTTACAAATTAGATTCATTTGTTTATTTAACAGATATTTATTGATTATTACTGAGAATCTTAGTAATACAGATACTAAGTAAACAGCAAAAGAACAAAACACAAAAATCTTGCCCTCATAGATCTTACTTCCTCCTGGGAAGACATTACTACCAAACAAATAAATATATACATGCTATGAAGAAGAGTAAGGATAGAGAATTCTGTGTGTCATAATAAGAAATACATACTTGGTCTTTGTCTCTGGTTCCTGGCTTGTGGCTTCTAAAATCCTTGGACTCTAACCAATGACGAGTGCAGTCTCACTGTGTTTCCCAGGCTGGTCTTGAACTCCTAGCCTCAAGTAGTCCTCCCTTCCCGTCTCAGCCTCCCAAGTGGCTGGGGTTATGGGCCTGAGCCACTACACAGCTAAGTGTCTTGTATGTGCTGATGAGATGGCTGGTGTCTGAGAGCCCCTAGAGAGCTTCAGGATGGGGGCTAGTCTTTAGAAAGACCAAGCAATGGCTGGGTGTGGTGGCTCATGCCTGTAATCTCAGTACTTTGGGAGGCCAAGGTGGGCAGATCACCTGAGGTCAGGAGTTCGAGACCAGCCTGGCCAACATGGAGAATCACTGTCTCCACTAAAAAGACAAAAATTAGCAAGACAAAAATTAGCTGGGCATGGTGGTGAGTTCCTGTAGTCCCAGCTACTCAGGAGGCTGAGGCAGGAGAATCACTGAGGCTACTTGGGAGGCTGAGGCAGGAGAATCACTTGAACCTGGGAGGCCGAGGTTGCGGTGAGCTGAGATCATGCCATTGCACACCAGCCACCTGAGTGACAGAGCAAGACTCCATCTAAAAAAAAAAAAAAAAAGTCATGAATAGAGGGTTGGAACTTTCAGCCTTTCAGCCCCTGCTTCTTGCCCCCACCTCTGGGCAGAGGAGAGGGGCTAGAGATTGAGTTACCCCAATGGCCAATGATTTATTTAATCAGTGTGAAACCTCCATAAAATCCCCTAAGTGATAAGGTTCAGAGAGCTTCCAAGTTGATAAAGATATCTAGGTGCTGGGAGGGTGGTGTGCCCAGAGAGGACATGGAAGCTGTGTCCCCCTCACCGTACTTTGCCCAGTGCATTTCTCCTATTTGGCTGTTTATGAGTTGTGTCCTTTATAATAAACAAGTAATAGTAAGAAAATGAGTTCCTGAGTTCTGTGAGCACTCTAGCAAATTATTAAATCCAAGGGGGTATTATGGGAACCCTAGACTTTGTAGCCAAGTCAGAAGTGTGGGCACGCTGGGCACCTGTCTGGCATCTGAAGTGAAGGAAGTTTTGTGGACTAAGCCCTTAAACCTGTGGAATCTGACACTAACTCTAGGTAGTGTTAGAATTGAATTGAATTACAGGATTCCCAGTTGTATCTGGAGAATTAGAGAACTCATTGTTGGTGTCAGAAAGTTGTGCATAAAAATAGGTCAGTGTGATAGTAGGTAGTCTTTGGGCCTATGTGGTCTACGCTAGTTCAGGAATATGTGATGTGTTAGCCTGAAATTAGCTCAATAATCACTTCATTTCCCATAGGACAGGTACAGTTCTAGTGTTGGGAAGACAACCAGGAACAAAAACCAAGTGCTTACCTCATGAAACATGCATTCTAGTGGGGGAAGACAGATACTAAACAGATAGATGATGTCTGATATTTAACACATTATAAAGAAAATAAAGCAAGGTATAGAGACAAGATGTGATAGGAGTTACTGTTTTAGCTAATGCAGAGTATTTCTAGAAGTTTCTATGAAAGTAAAATTAGTTTAAAAAAGGAGGTACAGACCGGGCGCGGTGGCTCACGCCTGTAATCCCAGTACTTTGGGAGGCCGAGGAGGGCGGATCACAAGGTCGCGAGATCAAGACCATCCTGGCTAACACGGTGAAACCCCGTCTCTACTAAAAAATACAAAAAAATTAGTCGGGCGTGGCGGCAGGCACCTGCCCAGCTACTCGGGAGGCTGAGGCAGGAGAATGGCGTGAACCTGGGAGGCGGAGCTTGCAGGGAGGCGGGGCTTGCAGTGAACCCAGGATTGTGCCACTGCCCTCCAGCCTGGGTGACAGAGCAAGACTCCGTCTCAAAAAGAAAAAAAAAAAAAGGAGGTACAGTGGCCGGGCACGGTGGCTCACACCTGTAATCCCACCACTTTGGGAGGCCGAGGCGGTGATCACCTGAGGGTCAGAAGTTCGAGACCAGCCTGGCCAACATGGTAAAACCCCGTCTCCACTAATAGTTCAAAAATTAGCTGGGCATGGTGGCGCATGCTAATAATCCCAGATGCTCCGGAGGCTGAGGCAAGAGAATCGCTTGAATCCAGGAAGCGGAGGTTGCAGTGAGCCGAGATTGCTCCATTGCACTCCAGCCTGGGCGACAAGAGTGAAACCCTGTCTCAAA